CTGAGCCCGCGGGTTCGAGACCCGCCTGGGCAACTTGGCGAGACCTCATCTCTACAATAAATCAAAAAAATCAGCCGGGTGTGGTAGCATGCACCTGTAGTTCCAGCTACTTGGAAGGCTGAGGCGGAAGGATCGCCGGAGCCCAGCAGGTCGAGGCTGCGGTAGCCGGAAGGGGCCACTGCACTCCAGTCTGGGCGACAGAGTGAGACTCCAACTCAAAAAAAAAAAAAAAAATGCTTTGAAGCACCCTCTGTAACAGTCTAAACTCCAAAGACTGCCATCTACACTCAAATAACACAGTTTGACGGAGTAAAAGGGGGCTTCCTGCAGATGATAAAGGAATGAGGAATGTAGTGAACATCAATGTTTGGCGAATGATTGTCAGTAAATACTGTTGGTTTACCATCAAAACACAGCCAGAATATCTATATGAATATCTGAATGTATCTCCTCTTGAAAAACAATTTATTTCCTAGCCCCGACTTTTGAAAAGGCCTAGAAACAATGACCAGTGTTGTAGCAGTAAGCATGCTGAGTCCCCAGATTTGGTTTCTAAATACCATTCTCCACTAGAAGGAACCAGAGCTTCTTGGAGAAATGCCTGCTACCAGCTATCAGGCTTGGGGCAGGGAAAGTCCAGGATGAGCCTGGGACATGTACTCAAAGCAAAATGTGAGGAAGGGCTCACAGAATAATGAGGCGAGTCACAAGAACAGAGGAGTCCATCTAAATAAGCTCCTACTGGCCAGGGGTAGTTTAATTTAAGCATCAAAAAAGTCAACAAATAAGTGCAATGGACTGAAACTCATCAAATACGTTTAGAATCTATGCATTCATAATGACAACAAAATCAAAAGTCCTTTCATTGGTCACCTTTGGAGAAGTACATTTTCTTCTGAAAAATGTTAAATAAAATGGAAAAAAAACTATTTACACTGCTTTTCCTCTACAAACGTATACCTCAAGGTAGCAAAACAGTTGATGTGGGACAGTTTTTCTTTAGAGAAGAATTCCAACTAATAAAGGAAGTGGGAATAATTGCATTTACTCACTTTTAATAAAGTCTGTGGTCCCTTTTACTCTTCACAGCCTAACTCATTTGAATGTGGTTACTTCCTGCTCTAGGGTAACCTAAATGTTATCTTAAAAGATAAGGTGGGGGATATTTTTAAGAACTACTTTCATTTTACCTGGGGACACAACTGATGTATATAATTGTTGCCTATATGTTTATATGCTTGGTTCTTGTCTTATGTACCTGGCTTTCACTTTATTAATATGAGTTATTGAGGTAGTGGAGGCACTTTAGACCTTTATGCTCATAGGACATACTGAATGGTAGCCAAGTCACCTTGAAGAGTCTGCTGCCTAGTTCTAAGAGTAAAATTCTACCACCTCATCCCTAGTCCCTGTTTCCTGTTTCTTTTGATTGTTGCCATAATTCTAAGTGATTTATTTTTACCACTATTTCTTGAGTTATTGGCTTTAGCATTTTTCAGACTTTCACTTTGAAAAAGGAGAACCTTAATCTATATTCTAAGCCCAGTTTTTGTCTTATGTTTTTGTGTACTGGTTAAGAAAATAAAACAATGCTCAAAATAAAAAAAAAGAATTAAGTAGAGTTAATTCTGTTTAAATTAATAAGGAAGGTTAATAAATTAATTTAATAAAATGAATGACTTAAAAATTAAATTTAATATTGAAAGACTAAATTAATTAACAGAATTAATACATTAATAAAAGTAGAGTAAGAAATGTGTTTCCACCTGGATGCAATCAGCCAAATCCAGACTGTGGAAAACCCTACAGGACAAACAAGGTTTCTTCAAACAACGAATTACAAGGAAAGAAAGTAGGGTAGATTTTAAAAATCCGAAGAGACACATCAATCAAACGTAATGTGTTAACCTTTTTTGGATCCTATAACACTTATGAGAGAAGGAAATTTGAACACTGACCAAATACTTGATGATATTAACGGATTGTTGTTTTCTGAGGTATGATGATGGCACTATGGGCTTTTTTTTTTAAGAGTTTTTAATTTTCTGAGATACAAATTGAAGCCTTTATGGATAGGATGATGTCTGAATGTTTTTCCCAAGATAAGTCCATAGGGAATGGGAGGAGGGAGGCGGGATATAGATAAGGAAGGACTGGATACTTGCTGAAGGTGGATGGTGCACGTAGGTTCGTTATACTAGTCTCTTTACTTTTATATATGTTTGAAAATTATAACAATAAAAAGTTAAAGTACACACACACATACCCCTCTGAAATGTCTCTACTGCTTTTCCCCAACTGTCACAGCTCACCTGGACCACTGCAGTGGCCTCCTCCTCACTGGCCACCTGCTTCTGCCCTCACCCTGACAGTCTATTTTCCACACAGCAGCCAGAGGGAGCCTATTCAATTCTAAGTCAAATCACATCTCTCCTCTGCTCACGACCCTCCTATGGCTCTCCTTCACTCAAAGTAAAAACTAAAGTCTCTACCCTAGCCAGTGAGGCCCCACCCAATCTGTCCCTGGCCACCTCTCTGTCCTGTACTGCTCCCCCTCTTCACTCACTCAGCTCCTTCTCACTGTCCATGTTAGTCATGGCCCCACCTCAGGACCTTTGACTAGCCTGGGATGCTCTTCCCTTAGCTATTTATGTGGCTCACTCTCTCACCTTCTTCAGATCTCACCCATTTGCTCAAATCTCACTAATCACTAAGGCTTGCCCAGTCACCCAATCTAAAGTTGCATGCCTCCCTCCCACCCTCCTAGTTCATTTTCTTTCCCCCTCCTCCTCCTTTTCCCTCTCTCTTTCTCTCCCTCACACACACACACACTCCCTATTCCTTTATATTTTTCCTTAGCACTCATCATCATGTAAAATATCATACATTTATTATTTTGTCATTTCTCATCTTACTAACATATAAGCCCCATGAAGAGTGTTTTTCCATGTCTACGACAGTGATTCACAAGAGCAAGCACTCCATAAATATCTGCTAAATTAACAAATGGAATTTCTATAAGCCCAGGTGAGTAACTGCATTCTCCCCCTCCCCACGGGGTTCTGAGTCTTGTGCCCTCCTCCCAACCTGGGGTGGACCCAGCCTAGCTGTGATCATATCATGAGCCTCCTATTGGGCTATCTACCCTGAGACTGCAAGGGCCCACTTACCTGAAGGGTCATCTGGGGCCACGGACGGAGAGGGGTGGGGGCCACCAGGGGACCCACTGACTCCTGGACATCACGACGCTCTGCTGGAGGGAAGAAGAGAAAGGTAGCGTTGGAGTGAGACGGGCAAACAAGTAGGCCTTGTTTTGTTAAGAAAATCTGCTATTCTAGCCAATGGGCAGTTTTGCCTCTAAAGCTCTCTGTGACAGTCTAAGGCAGAGGGTACCTCTTTGTTTTTTATAGAAAGAAAAGAAGGAGAAAGAAGGACATGGTAAATACGAGCTAGAACTCCTGAAGCTGACCAGGTGCTTACCCATAGCAGCAGTGTTATCATCCATGTTCTTCGTTCTCAGCTCCTCCTCGGTAGGCCTGTGGGGCAGAGGAGAGAGTACATGAATTTGACACCCTGAGAGGTCACTTCTGCCACCCACTGGCACCTTCTGAGCCTCTGTGGCAGCCCATCTTCACCTAACAGCTGCTGTTTTCTCTTCTGCTGCCTCTTTTTATCCCTTGATTGTAAAAGTCATAACCCTCATTGTAGAAAATTTACAAAATATAGGAAAGTATAAAGAAGCAGGGAATAAATAATATATCAGCCAGAGGCAATCCCCATTACCATTTTGGAAAATATCATTCCAGATATTCTATGAAACCATTTAGATTCTGCAGACATAATTTCACAGCTGGCTTTGTCCATTCAACAGTAAGAAATATCACTATATATATACTTTTGCAAACATTTCAGATGGCTGTTTAATAATCTTATCATATGGGTTCGCCATAATTTACATAACCATTCCCTTCCTTGTGACCAGCTAGGTTGTTTCCTTCATTTACTCACAAAGCAAACCTCAGGTATAGTTTTATCAATCCTTTGAGCTATTCCTTTAGGGTACTTCCTAGGTTGCAGAAAAACCCACGTTTTCCAAGAGAAGGCAGGCAGAGAAAATAGTGGGGCACAGGAAGCAGCAGAGGGGAGGATGGGAACGGGGTCAGGGAGGCTTGGGTCCCTACACCAGCCCTCCCCTACCACCATACCAGCCTGGCAGGTCACTTCACCACCTCACTGGTAAAAGGGAGCCCAGAGGAGCCAGGATGTGCACATCAAACACAGGGGAGTCAAGAGGAATGAGGACGGAAAGCCAGACACCAGGGCCTGGCACACAGCAAGGGCCAAATCCATGGTAGATATTTATTGGTCCTGCTCATCCTTCGCCAGGACAGTGAGATCTCTGAGTGGCATAAGCCAGGTGTATTTCAGCTGGATCCCGCCAGGGGTAGGATCTCATTATGCAGAAATCACTGCTCTTATTCTCACAGATGAGTATCAAATGTCTACATATTAAGGCAAATAAGGGCAGCATTAAATGAAACACGTTCAGAGACCTGAAAGGAGCTGAGGCAATTGTTTAGACCTTTCTTTTTCCAAAGAGGCAACATGACATTGTTGACATTTCTGGAAATAGTTGAAACTTTTTGAAAACACCTAACCAATTACCTTTGCAGAAACAGAATACTACAGCTAGCTGACCCATACATAGTACTTACTATGGCATTAGGCACTGTTCTAAATGCTTCACATACATTAATTCAATCCTCACAACCACCCGATGAGACAGGCAATTGTAATCCTCTGAAGTAGACAGTACCATTATCCTCATCTCACAGATGAGGAAACAGAGGCCAAGCAAGTGGCTCAGATTGCAACCCAGGCCTTCTGGGTTACTCAGCCCCATCTCCATTCTTTCTAGAAGTGGATAGAGGGAAGCACCAATAGTAGACAAGATTCCTCCCTCTTCCTTCATGTGGGCTTTTCTTTGGACCTGCCTTTTGCCCACATGTTCATTCCTGGTTTCCCTGTCTCCATGGGACATGACGCTTAAAGACCACCAGACACAAGTTGGCTGCAAGAACTGCTTTCTATTAGCACCCTCACAGAGGAAGCTTGAACCATATATCTGGATCTAGAGTCTGGAAGCTCTGGAAGAGCCAGTCTGTCTTTCTCTGTAGTCTAGGGTTCAGGTACTTGAATCAGAAAACTACAGGGCTTGGGGTGGATGACTCTGGGAGATAATCACACATCATGGATGAGAAAGAGGATCCAGAGCAAACCAGCTTGGTCTTGCACTAGTCCCCTCAGTGGGTCTAAAATCCAGGGCTTTGGACTTGAGGCTCAACACAATTTCCGCCGGACTGCATTGACTGACTTTTTTTTTTTTTTGAGTTGGAGTCTCACTCTGTTGCCCAGACTGGAGTGTAGTGGCTGCTCCCGGCCACCACAGCCTCGACCTGCTGGGATCCGGTGATCCTTCCACCTCAGACTTCCAAGTAGCTGGAATTACAGGCATGCGCTACCACACCTGGCTGATTTTCTGATTTATTGTAGAGATGAGGTCTTGCCGCCCAGCCGGGTCTCGAACCTGCGAGCTCAGGCAATCTACTCACCTCAGCCTCCCAAAGGTGCGGGATTACAGGCTGAGCCACCGAGCCCAGCTGTGACTGACTTATTTTGCTGCCGTAGTCCTTTATTACAGAAAACCTCATCTTCCCAGGATCTTCTAAACTGAGCCTCTTCAAGAAGGCCCACAGACAGACAGAAAGCAAGCCCTTCCTCCTGTGGACAGAAGTAGGCAAGCCTTCCCCTGCCATCTGGCCCGGTCCTGACAAGCAAAACAACCAGGCTTCTTCCAAAAGCCACTAGAATCACAGATGTGAGAGAGAGAGAAAAGGGGAGCACTCAGAAAGCAGCCAAATAGTAGAAAAAGGACTCCACAGTTCAGTTGGAGAAGGGAGAAGAGAGAGAAGAAAAACAAATACATAATAAATCCTTCAGCTCCCAGAGCATCTTTTCCATGGCCAAGGGGGGCAAAGAGAGGGAAACTATCCAAAAAGCAGGTCAAGCAACTGAGCCAATCCCAAGATCCATGAAGTCAGCAGAAGCAAATGTGCTTCCTACCTCCAGAGAAATGAAAGCAGGAGGCACAAGCATTTATTATTCACCTCCTCCAACACAGGCCCTTCTCATTGATACACCAAGGCATTTGAAAACCTGCACTCTACCCTGCAAAACAACACCCTTCCCTTGTTACAAATGCAGTAACAAAGGCCCAAGGAACCCTCTACACCCAGTGTGTCGACATATCACACCAATAACATTCAAACAGGGCTCCATCTTGAAGACAGCTTGAAATCATGGGCTTAAAAAACAAAATCCTTGAACTGTCTTTCACAGTAAAAATTTGGGGGCAGCTATGACTTTAATCAAAATGAGGATAGTAAGAGAAATCAAGTACAAATGTATACTGACTCACTGATCAGTAACAGAGAAGAGGGGTTCTTAGAAAAATAGGGAGGGAGATTAAGAACAAAACTGTACCTACAGTATGCCTGCTCATTTTCAAGGAAACCTGTTCTTTTGGCACCAGCCCCACAAATACCACGTGGTATCCCAAGGGTAGTGGGCAGTAGTGGTGCAAGGCACACAGGCCTGGGAACACAGCCCAGGCACGCATCATTTGGGTGCCTGTGAGCACTAGTTAAGCCAATGTCGCCCAGAAGGGGCCATCTCATTCCTGCATGCCTGTCTCCTGGGCATGAAAAATTCCTCTGCCATCAGAAAACTCAACAGCTGTTGCCCTCAAATAGTACCCCAGGAGACCTGGGGTGAGAATCTGGAAAGAGGTGGCGTGGGCCCCAGCCTAAGCTAGCCAAGACAAAACATAGGTGAACTGCTGGAGTCAGAGTGAGTGAGCAAGAGAGGGCTGACAGGTCCCAGGGAGAAAGCAAAGCAGACTTTCAGAGCAGTCACATCACTGCCATCACCACCACCACTCAAGTCCTCTGGAGCACCCCCCAGTGCTCATGTTTTCAAAGAATTCTGCCAGCCCAAAGTGGGTCAGGCACTGAAACCCAAAGGGAAACTCAGTAGACCCCGGCTCCCATGCAGTCAACCTGAAGATAACGCTGACTCTCCAAGGGGACAGGTGGCTTCAGAAACCTGCCCCACGATACTTGGAATCCCAGTTACCCTGAGCCATCTGCTTTCTGAAAAGAACATGGTTTGAAGGCAGCTGTGAAAGTCACCAAGTTATGTGGGGCACTGTTTTGCCTTCCCCAACAAGTATGTCAGCCTCAACTCTGGGACTTGTGGGTGATTCAGCCAGGTAGAGGGAGAAAACCAGTTTATCATGCCATGAGCCTCTTTGACTTGGCCATGATCCACAGTAAGAAATCCACTTTATGTCATAACCCAGCATACATATGTAAATCTAATTACATATATAGAACTGGAAAACGGTTGTTCTTTGAATGAAACAATACTTACCTTTACTGCATGTTGTTATGCAGTCTGGCATTTCCTACGCTATTTCTTTTTTTTTCTTCTTTTTTTAATGCTTGCCAGAACCCAGTAAATTGACTTCACATCTCAATAAAAGGTCAGGACGTGCAACTTTGAATAATCCCAGCTCTGCCACCTACCAGCTGTGTGACCTGGGGCAAGTTACTCTCTGTGCTTCCATTTCCTCATCTGTAAAGAGGTGATAATAGTAATATCTATTTTAGTAAGTTGCTGAGAAGATTGTGGGAATATTTGATTGAGCACCTGTAAAGCACTCAACGAACAGTAATAATCTCCTCCAAATTCCCAGTGAGGAAATAGAGGCTCTGAAAAGGAAAGCAACTTGCCTAGTGTTGCCGGTTCATAAAACACATCACTCAGCCTGGTACAACAGCTAAGAACTGGGGCACTAGTGCAGAACCACGTTAGGCTCGGATCCTGGCTCTGCCAATTTCTTAGCATGTGCCCTCGGGCCCACGTCCTTAACCATGATGCCTACCAGTTTTCTGTGGAATAAAAGGGGATCACTTTCACTTTAAATCCTCACTCGCCAGACAACTAAGATGAGCCTGATCCATCCTGTTTCAACTCCAATTGTTCTGGTTTCCCCTAAGGCTGCCAACTTGGATGTCAGGGTGGCTCCCCATCCATTCAGTTATAGGTAGACCTAAAGACACCGAGGCCTTACTTCTGCATCAGCCCCCGTGACAGACCCTGGAGACACAACCCAACTAGGAAGCTTACAATTCAGTGTGGAGGAGGACATTAAAAAAATACTCAAACTCATTCGTTCAACAAACATTTATTGAGCATCTGCTAAGTGCCAGGCACTGTGGCAGGCCTGCAGGAATACAGTGGTGAACGAAAGCAGACCATGTCCCTACCCCTCACGGAGCTTACAGTCTAGCAGGGCAGAGAGTCATCCAGTAATCCCCTAATGGAGGTCTAACTACAAACTTAGGAAAGAATACCCTAGAACAAGGGGCCCTGGCCCAGACTGCAGGGTCAGGGAAGGCTTAAGGATGCGGAGAAGCAAAACAAGCAAGGGAGGGGCTAGGGAGTGAGAAGCTGCTCAGGATCACTGTGGGGGAGGTGATGGCTGCAGTCCCCAACAAGGTGAGTTTGAAGGATCTTTGGGACTTCAGTCAAATGGAGATAACAAGTTTGGACACATGAGGCTGAAGGAAAGAGCAAGGAGAAAGAGAAGGGCCAGAGAGTTAAGAAGAAAAGCAGCAGAGTGTGATCCCAAGGCAAGGGAAGATAGGTGTTTTAAGGAGTGTTTAACCACTTCAAGAAGAAAACCATAGAACTACCTGTGGAATCTGGCAGCTGCAGGGCAATGACACATACGCAGGGGCAAGCCAGTGGGGAAAGCAAGGGCAGGCAACTCCTGAGAGGGGGCTCGGCAGTGAAGGGGAGGAGGGTGATAAGGTGCTAGCCAGGAGCAGCAGGGAGAGAAGGTGGGGTCAGTAGAGACAGGAGGGATGCTGGCTGGCGTGGTTAAGTCAGTGGAGAGGATTGGGTGAGGAAAGCAGAAAGCCTGCCAGGAGAATGGAGCAGAGGTTCTGGAGCAAGTGGCAGAAAAACGGAACCCTGAGCACAAGAGGGAAAACTGGCCTGAGGGAGAAGGGACCCCTCCTCACCTGTAACACAGGGGAGGAAAATCAGTCTGTAGGCTTGGGGGCTGCAAGTTGTAGGGAGTTTCATTCTTATGGCTTCTACTTTGTCTTTTGAAGCAGGAGATAAAGTCTGAAGGTAAAGTACACTTGAAAGAGTCACGTCAGAAAAGAGATAAGAGTGGATCTGAAAAATACAGTAGGACCGGACCGCCAGGCAGGGTGGATGATCCTGAATTTGTGGCAATGCTCATCTGCTCTGTTATGTGACTTTCTAACGGGACTTGCCTGCTGGGCTGATCAGTGCTACATAAAAGCGGGGGCATGAGGAGGTTGGGGTGAACAGGCTCCCCTGGGGAAGTCCTCTTAGCACTGAAGGATCAACACAGAGACTTTAAGGGATACCGGAAAAACATTCCTGGTAAAGGAAACAGCATGGGCGAAGGCCCTTCAGCGTATCAGAAAGACCATGGTGACAGGAGCTCAGAGACACTGGTGTGAGACCAGTGAGGCCAGATTAAGGGGCGAGGTCAGGGATGCTTGAAGGCCATGGTGAGGCTTTCTTGGTCTTTATTTTTAAGAGGAATAGAATACTTCCTAAGGGTGTTAAGCCAAGGTAGATCAGAAAAGCTCCTCCCCACATCAGCGCTGGGACTTTGGACTCTGGAAGCCTGTTTACTCATCCAAGAAAGAGGGATTAAAAGAGGTCTATCTCACAGGGAATGTGGTCAGAATTAATGAGACTTTGCATGAACATACAGTACTCAGCAAAGTACCTAGCAAAGAACAGGGGCACAGCCAGGTTTCCCACAACAAACCCTCTATACCCACCCCATTTCACTACAAGCCCTGTGACATCTTAGGACCAGTCTGCGCATATTTTTCCCAGCTTGAATCTAGCACTGTGCCCAGCACATAGCAGGCCTTCAATAAATGCTTGTTGATGGATCATCTCTAAGCCTAAGAGTTATCAAAAGCCTGGTCCCACAACTCAGGAAAAGCAGCCATTTGGGTTTCTGATGGCTACCACAGACTTTTCCCATGCCCCCACCTAATGTGGTTGTGTCCAGTGCACAGTGGGCTTGCAGCCACTTCCTAAATGGGAAGCTGCTCCGATAGAGCTCCCACAGGTAAAGGATATCTCCTAAGATTTTCCATCATTTCTCAAGAGGGCTGGGTTGCAGGGGGTGTCTGTTCTTCAACTGCGCTCCAAGTCACTGGCAGCACACAGGTGTTTAAACAATAATAAGCTGAAATGTACTCGCCAAGAAAGCCACCAACCTACAAAGAAAACCTTATCGCTGATCTTGCAATGAGCACCAACCTCCCCTTTGCAAGAGCTGAGATCAAAAGATAAAGAAGCTATCAAAAAGCCATCTGCCCACTTAAAATAATATCACAAGTCATGTTAGGAACCACAGACCTGGGGCCAGATACCAAAACAATTGTCTGAACGGCCTGCTTCAATTTCTCCTGAAAACCACTCATGTATTTTAAAAGAAAAACACCCTCTCCACCCACCTTGGCCCTGCAAGGTTTTGATTTCTCTCTTCACCTTCTTTCACACTCTTTAAAATGACCAAACTCCTTTACCCAAACTGTCTGTCGCATCTTACAGACAGGGCTCCCACGACAGCCGGCGAGGATGACAACTCGGGAAAAGTGACAAAAATGAAGACGGTTCTGGGGCACTGGAACTGCTTGTTATCTTGATCTAGGTGGTTACACACGTGCACACACATGTACAAATCCACAGGGCCATACACTTAAGATCAGTACTTTATGTAGATATAACTCAACGAAGCAAAAAAAAAAAAAAAAGCATGATATGCTGGGAACACCAAGAGTGAAATCCTGAATTTGCCCTGAATTCTACCAGGCTTTCGAGAGGATTCAGTTTTAAAAAAAAAACATGTCCCTAGCATTTCCTCCCCAGTCCTGTCACTCACTAGCTAAAAGTCTCTGAGCAAGCATGCTCACCTCTCTGAGCTACCTCTCTCCCCCTCTACTAAACAAGGATTGATCACAGCACCTACACCACACAGCATGCACAGCAGGCCTCAAGGAGAAGACTTGACGCTCGTAGGACAGAGATCAGTAAATGCTGGCCACTATTATCTTTCAGAACTACCACCACACTTCAGTTACCTTGCCTGTTTGCTGCATCCAATCCAACCATGCAGTGACTGTCATTTCCCTTCAGCAGATGCAAAAACTGAGGCAAGGTCACACAGCTGATGGGCAGAGGGAGTTTAGGAGGGGAATCCAGGGAACTGCACATGTGACTCCCTAAATAGCTAACACCTGTACGGCACTACTTTGAGCCGGCCTTGGTTCTGAGTGCTTTTACTCCTACCCCGTGACGTGCTATGATTCTCTGTTTTACAGATGAAGGTCCTAAGGCACAGTGTGGCTAAAAACAGTTGGCCAAGGTCACAAGACAAGTAGCAGGGCTGGGATTTGAACCCAGACAATCTGATGCCAGAATCCACATTCTTAATGCTGTAAGGAAAGCGATGCTATCTGCCTCCTTTAGACTCTCAGGTTATGGTGAGGCTTACAGATTGGTTAGTGAAGGAGTGCTTGCTAACGTGCTCACTTACCCAGGCACATCTGCCCACCAGTCCAGAGTTAGACCTTTCTGAACTACTCACAGCCTAAGGCCTTACCAGGACCAGCAGATCCCACACACATCTTGCTGCAGCCAGCAACTTCTGACCAAGCATACACAAGATCCAAAAAGCATTTTCCCATTCCCATCTCTGGTCCTCCCAGAAGAGAAATATATGCATTTTTAGGGAGAATCTACTGATCTCAAGCTAGACTTAGGTGATCACAAGAATCAGGTCTAGCCGCTACCCTTGAAGAATTCATAGCTTGAGGGGAAACCTAGGAATATCTTCTATAAGGGCCTTCTGGGGTAAAACTGGTTCTCCCGGCCTCTGAATAGTCACAGGTGGTGTGGCAAAAACAAGGGACATGAGCATCAAGAGTCTCTGCCAGAACCACTGCTTCCCTGTGAGAGCCGGGTGGTTCAGGTCCCTTGCCTCTACAGGAGGCCTCAGACTAGATTAGAGCATAACAGTAGAGTGCATAGGCTTCAACGTTAGGCATAGATGAATTGGAAAAGCCAGGCGCCATCACTCCCTCAACCAGTTTCTCCACCTCTGGATCCCTCATTTCCTGCACTGTCAGATAGGGATCAGATTCCCTACCCCCCCACTGGCAAGGCCCTTGGTCCACACTTCAGTCTCTCCACTCCAGCACACTGCCCATCATTCACACCAAGCTTATTTCCACCCCAGGACCTTTGCACTTGCTGTTCCCTTTACCTAGAACATCCTTATTCCATATATGCACATATCTGTTCTTTATCATTCAGCTTAAATGGCACCTCATCAAAAAAGTCCTCCCCATTCCCCTTTCTACAAACTCTCCTTTATCACTCAAGACTCACCTCAAAGGCCCTCCCTGAACATCATGTCTAAAGCAACCATTCCCTCACAATCTATCCCCTTACTCCTCTGAGCAGCTAACTTTGTCCCTGTTTATCTGCTTGCTTGCTTTTTTTTTTTTTTTTTTCAAACTGTCTCTCACAGGAGCCTGTATGATCCTTGAGGGCAGGGAAAATGTCTGTCTTTTTGAGGGCTTTACAGTGGAATTCAATCAATGAATGAATGAAACCCCAGTTAAACAGTGCCTAGCACGTTTGGCCTCCATTACTCTTTGACTAACTGACTGAATGCACCGCACCCTCTTCTCTGTCCTGGAGACCAACCCTGAGGAGTTCCTGGGCCGGAATGCTTGTCCTCCATCCTAGACACAGCCCTGCGTTGGCGGAGGTGGCGCTGGCAGACATTACCTGCGCCTCACCGGCTTCATGCAGCTCTTCAGCTGCCTGGCCTCAGCCTCCACCGGACCCTGGCACTCAGGCTGTAGCTCCAGCTGCTGCTGCTGGGGCAGCCCTTCGGCATCAGTGGGTGTGGGAGCGGGTGCGATCCGGAGCAGGACTGTGTAGTTGCGGCCGTGGTTGTTGGCCCAGAAAGTGCCCTCGGGGGTCTCATAGCGCACCACGAAGTCGAGGCGCGCCCCATCGCCCGCGCCCTCAGCAAAGGGCAGCTGGAAGGCAAAGCGGTCGGTGCGGCCGCCGTCGTCGGGCGAGGAGGCGGACGCCTGGCCGGGGCCCAGGCCGAGACCCGGATCCAGGATGGGATCTCTTGCTCCTGTTCCTCCCGCTCCTGCCCCCGGCGGGCTGCGCGGGACGTAGCGCGCTGGGTGGTCGCAGAAGGAAGCCCAGCCGTCGTGTGAGGCCCGCACGTGCACCGCCTTCTCGAAGGAGCGGTTCAGCACGCGTACCAACCCGCGCAGCACTGGTGGGCGCCCCCCAGGCACCCACACCCCGGCACCCCCGGGGACCGCTCCAGGAGGCGGCAGCAGCGCCTCCAGCTCCACCATGACGCGCCCCAAGCGCTCCAGACGGCCCGGCGCGGGCGGCAGCGAAAATGTGGGCACCAGGTAAAAACCCCCGCCAGCGGGGACGGGGCACGGCGGCGAGGACGCGGGGCAAGCCTCCTCTTCCTCCTCCCCTTCATCCCCATCCTCGCCATCGT